TTTTAAGTTTAATGACTTGGTGCAAGTTGTAGCTAACTTGTTTAGGCAATGTAAATATTTTGCTGGCCACTGTTGTGTGGATTGGTCCCCTGTTGACCTTAGTTCTCTATGTTTAGGAGATGACGTGGGTCATGATCTTTAATTATCTGGTATTTTGGTGTTTTGTTGTGAATAACAAATGGCTATACTCCGCTAGTATTGTCACCCAGTAACCGGGAGCCTTCACCACCAGTGTCGACTCTTGCATCAAAAGTGGCGATATCTATGAGTAGGTAGTCCTGAAGCTGTGAAAAGTTGAGTAATTGGGCTCTTTCATCTAAAAATGTCAGAGTTCACGTCAAAAGACTTGAATGGTTTGGGACTAAGCCTCTATTCATTCAAAAAAAAAGAAAAGAAAAAAGAGAAAAGAAAAAAAAAAGAACAGATGTGAAAAATATGTAAGTATATGATCATGTTGGCCTGCCGATCCTTGTTCTTCAATGTTGAGATTTTTGAACCAATTGCTGACTGTTGCTAGTTTAATATTTTGATTTCTTAGATGAGTTAGCCACGAATTGGACGAGTCTAACTGGGAGGATTGTGTCTTGACACTTGGCCACCGAACCTTGATTTTGGTATAAACACAACTTGGAAATAGATGACATGAGAGTTGACCATTGTTGGGTCTAGTTGTTCGCATGCTTGAGGACAAGTATGATTTAGGTGTGGGGGGAATTGATAGGGTGTTAATTGTTAGTAATTTTATTGTTAATTTTTCCCTTTGTCCTTACCAAATATTGTTTTAAATTGTTAATATATACTTATATTTGGTATTTGGACCATTTACAGGAAGTGGAACTGAAAAGTGCTAAAAAGGGGGACCTGTTGGAGAAAATTGCTCCACACGTGGGAGACATCAAAAAGCTTCACGAATCTAGCCCACAGGGGTACTAAGCAACGGACTCCCTTTTCCTTTTGTTGATGAAGAGTTGCTGACTAGGAGTCCTCCTACCAAGAGGAAACGAAATACAAGGAATTCGGCTGAGCTTTCTTTTTGTACCTTTTCTCTCAATGCGGCAGGAACAACGTAGAGAGCATTAGTCATTATTTAGAGACAGTTTAGTTTTCTTTTCTTTTCCTTTTCATGCGTGACTCTTGTTCGACAAAAGTCCCGACTGGAGAAACATTTTTTACTTCTTGATTATTTAGTGAAAAATGTGATGCCTTGCGAATCAATTGAATTGCGTGGAAATTTTCTCATGAGGCGTGGTTAAGCTTTTCACCTAGTCAAGGATCAACGCGACGACGCAGTCCCAAATATCTGTGAGATCTAATTAGTTTTCATGCGTTCTTTAATTTGTTAATATTTGCACGTTATCTACTTGAATTTTCATGGATTATTTTGTTAATTGGATGTCAAGGGCCTGATGTTTAATGTGACTTATTAATCTCCTGTCAAATTAGTCAATTAAATCCGTAATTGTTTAATCGATTAATATTAGTAGCAATTAGCATTTTTACACACTAAGGGAACGTGCAATCTAATTTAAATAACCCTCGTAGCGTGTTATTGGTTGGGGTTAGATTTTTTTAGTTCTTTATGCAATTGGGGAATTAATTCCTACGGTAGTACCTAGGAGTATTCTCTAGTTAGGGGTAATCAATGGTCGTACTTTGGCTATCAATAAATTAAGGAAAAATTGGTCATCAGAGCCCATCGGCGATTATAACTAACCTATTAATAAATTAAGTGAACCTCCCTTGCATCAATGATTGGATGAATGGACTGTGTCTGAGTAGTTGTATTCTTGGCTAGAATTTATCTATTCTTGATTTAATTCCTGTCTACATTCGTGCTAGTTAGTTATTCGTTTTAGTTGAATTGTTTAATTGTTTTTAGCTTTATTCCGGTAAAACCCCCCTTTACCAATTGGAACCTCAAAGAAACAAATATCCCCAGTCCCTGAGGAGAGAACCCTGCTTGCCACTGTCTACTTGTTAGTAAAGTTTGTTAGCTAATTAATTCTGATATATCGGATTAAGCAAACTCTTCGGGAACAGGGTGAATCAAGTAACCCATTGCACACCTAGAGTCCCTGCTTCAGTACCTAGAATTGATTATTGACTGCTTAGTGGTAGTTAGGTTTTATTATTTTTTATTATTGCACAGGACCGGCGCCTGTCAGTATTTAGAAATTATAAATATAAAACTTGATTGTGGATGAGTTAAATTGTATATGTATACCCCGCACACGTCACTATTATTTTGAATAAGTTATTTAGCACTTTTGCTCCTTTAATCATGATTAACTAGCCATTAATTTTGATAATTTTAAGGTATTAAATTTGTAATTAAAATTGGGATTTAACAGTGATTCAAGAAGTGCTAAACCTCACGACATTAGAGGTACACCTTTGTGGTTTTAGTGATTTATTTCATATAATTTCATAGAAATAATGAATTTGTAACTAATTTCATAACCACAGGAGTGGGTATAGATTAGTTATAAGTATAGTTAATTCACTATGAGAGTAAGTTTCGCATGTATAAAGAAATTATGTCATAATTAACCAGGATAATTCAATAATCCAAAAATTGCACTTGCATGAATAGTTAGGGATATCATAGTTTAAGGACCTTTCATTTGCTACTTTTTTGCATAGTTTAGCATAGTTTTATTTCCTTTACTTTGTTGATTGTTTAAATAATAGAAGAGTTTAGTAGTACTGGAAGTTGTTCATTCTTCTCTGTGGGTTCGACCCTTAATATCTTATATTCAATTTCGACCTATATATTTATAGAAAATCACATCTGGGATATTTTAAAATTTATAAATATAAAACTTGACTATAAAGGAAATCATCCGGTCTGGTTAAAATATATTATTACACAATTTAAATCATTGTATAATGGAAATTGGCTTTAGCAGACAGCAGGGCCTCAAATATGTATTCCATATGGAGCGATATCCGATGGAATCATTGCTAGTTGATCAGAAACCCACATCTATTCAGATGATAAATATATTTTAAACAAGATGGATATGATAAAATAATTCGAAAGGGCATGCCCTTTCGTCACGATCATCAAACCTTTCCAAAAACAGCTAGTGAGCTCGTTTCTGAAAACTTCGAAACCCAGCAAAAATTTGCCGGAAAAGGACAAAACAACATCAATGATAAATCATACTTTAGGGTGTGATCTGACACATACACAATTTAAATCCATACAATTTTGTGCAACATCTGATCCATACTCAATTCGGTCCCATAACATTTGTTAGAGCTTTTGTTTTGTAATACTGGACGAAAATATTCGATATATTCGAGATATTATCAATTTATCATTTAATTTACACAAGTTTCAAGGAAAAATTGATAATCTGTTCAAGATGTTATTCAAACGATCAATCAACTTAACAATTTCAAGAATTGTATGATGGAAATCTGGCAATCTCATGCTAGTAGTACTAAAAGCCAAATGCCAAAATTTAAATAGATTCAATTTTTAAAGGTTGGAGGACTGTTGTAATTGTGTTACACTATCTCATAAAATGATTTAATACAATTTGGATCATTGGCTGTTTTAAACACTAGATCTATCCAAGTATGAACCCAAGCCAAATATAGTAGTCATCAAATGATTTGGTACAATTTGGATCATTGATTGTTTTAAACACTAGATCTATCCAAGAATGAACCAGAGCCAAATATAGTAGTCAATCTGATTCCAGTTTAAACTTCATGCCCAATTAAAACTAGGAACACAAATAAGCTAGGCAAAAATAATTCCAGATGTGATGGAATCATTACTAGTTCATCAGAAACAGCTAGCTAACATTCAGATGAAAGTATTTTAAAGAAGGCCGATATGATAAAATAAAATCTGAAGGTCATACCCTTTCAACAGTCATATAACTTTTCCAGTAACAATTGTTGAGCTCGTTTACTAAAAATGGGAAACCCCAAATGCAAATTTCAATTTCATCAATCAATACTCTTATTAAACTAGCGCATGATTTGCGCGTAAAGGACAAAAAACATTGACGATAAATCAAAATTCAAAGTATGAGACACATTTATTTTCATGAGAATAATTATGATCAGTGACTAAATATAATATATGTGCTTGGTGGATGAAGTAAAGTGACAGCTATTATTGTGTATCACTTGTTCCTTTTACAGCCCATATTGGATTAGGTATCCGATCAGCAACTCTTCCTTTTTCGAGATTATCTGAAATAGGACTTAGGATTATTTCTTTTCTATGATTGCCATTTTCTAGCTATCTAGATATCATGTATTTGGTTGTGCGACCAGATCCGGGTGGGGGAATGGGGAGGGGGGAGGGCTGAAGGAAGAGAAGGGGGTTGGCGTGGGGAGGAGGAAGAGCGCATGTCGGGGGTGGTTGCTGCTGGAGGAAGAGGGGGAGAGAGAGAGAGGAAAGGGTGGCCGGTGAGGGATGGGAATGGTGGTGGTGGTTGTTGGTGAGTGTGGTAGCAAAGGTGGGTGGCGCATAGTTGGTGACAAAGTTTTACAAATATTTCTCAAACACTACAAAAGTTTTTGTAAATATTTTATAGCAACTTACAGAAAAAATTTAGGTAAACACCCAAAAAATATATGATCCAAAGGGATTCATAGTTTTCAATATAATCCCCTCGACTCCAAATCAAACAAAAAATTGAGACATAAATAAGCTGGAAAAAACAAAATTTGGGTCATAAAGAAGCTGGAAAATTATAAGTTTCAGCAATCAGCAGAGTATCTAATTAGTTAATAAAGACGAAAGCGCTCACTATATACTCCTTTCTCTGATGGAATCATTATAGCGATCTTTTCTTCATCATCATCTTCTTCTTCTTATTACGAGATTGGAATTTCTATTCTTTTAAGAGTTGGATTAGAAAAGCCGGTGCCCGCGTATGGAAAATCTTACAGCTGCTGAAGTCAACTTAATTATGACCGATCAAACAAACGACCTATAATCGAATTAACCATGGAGAAAATTTTTTCCAAACTTTCAGAATTTTTATTTATTTGGCTTGGTAAAATTCCAAGAACCATACAGGTGCATCGCTGCTGAATAAAATACTAAAGTAAATAGTTACTAAAACTTTGGCGGCCATAAGTACAAATTTATTGTGTCTATGGAGATTGGCATATCAATTGGAAGGGTCATACATGGTGGCAACCAAGTGAAGGTTGTTTTTTCTTGCTACTGTTATTCCAAAGGCCTCTGTCATGTCTAAGCCATCTTTACCAGGTGGGAGTTTCCAGTCGAAGTTGTACAACAATTGAGCTAAAGGAAGCTCCACATTGGCTAAGCCAAATGATATTCCCGGACAAATCCTCCTTCCTCCACCGAATGGCAGATAATGAAAATGAGTTCCTGTGAAATCAACTGGATTGTTGTCGAATCTCTCTGGTTTAAAACTCTCTGGATAATCCCAATCCTCAGGATCTCTGTGGATTGCCCAAGCATTGACCAAGACTCTTGTTTTGATAGGGATGACATATCCATCGAGTACACGTTGTTCCCTGCATTCCATGGGAACCAAAAGAGGCAGAGGAGGGTGTAACCTTAGGGTTTCTTTAATCACTGACTTTAGATATATTAGTCCTTCAATATCCATTTCTTCAATTTTTGCCTTTCCCATGAAAGCTTTTCTTATTTCATTCTTTGCTTTGGACATCACATCTGGATTTCTAATCATTTCAGACATAGCCCATTCCACCACTGTGGCTGAAGTTTCAGTCGCCGCCGTGAACATGTCCTGCGTCAAATAAATGTCACGGTTCTATATTAACAAAAAAAATAAAATTCAGGAGACTAGAGAATCCAACAAACAATTGTTGAACTAGTACTCACAAACATAATAGCTTTGACAATTTTGTTGGTAATAGGAAATCGAAGGTCGCTACCACTTTCTTTAATCCTTAATAGGATATCAATTAGATCTTCTTGGCCGGACTCGCCATTGCCCCCTTTTCCTCTTGCTAAATTCCTAATATGTTCATTGATTATGTTGTCCAAAATTACATCAATCTTGTGGTGCACCTTCAGCAATGTGGGCTTCATCCAACTCAGATGATGGAGGATCTTCTGTGACGGAAACAGATCAGAGATGTCGAAGCCACTTGTTCGGGACAAAACTTCCTTCACTAATTGTATGAGTATGGTATTCTTTTCGCCAAACATTTTTCCAAAAGCTGATCTGCAAACCATGGAACTTGTGAATGAGGAAACTTCTTCAGTCAAATTGATTGGTTTTCCACCACCAGTGGAAGCCCGAATAGATGAAAGTAGATGCAAAACCTCGTCCTGCCGAATAGAGCCAAATGATCGAACCATTTTTGCACTAAGCAGTTCCAAGGTGCATATTTTACGCATCTGTCTCCAGTACTCACCATAAGGACAGAATGCAATGCTTGAATAGTCATAGCATATGATCTTTCCAACTAAAACTTCAGGCCTGTCTGCGAAGGCAAGATCATGAGTTTTTAGAATCTCTTTTGCTGAACGTGGAGATGACACCACAATAGCTGATACTTCACCAAGCTGAAGATGCATCAAATCACCATGTTTTTTAGCTAAATTTGTGAGAGCCTGATGGGGTAGTGAACCAAGCAATTTATGCAAATTCCCAATGAAAGGTAGCTTGCGTTGACCTGGTGGCAGCTTCTGTGTAGCATTCACTTTTCTGGGTTTCTTCCATCTCTTCCATAAAGTTAGAATCAAGGCAAGGAAAATGAAGAAAGTGATGAAATTGAAGGGAATTTCCATTCTAACGGGACCTCTCTGTGCTGTGTGAGCTTAAATTCTCTTTTATTAAAGTTTGATAGCTTGCCGAAAGAGTGAAAGCTACCTCTTGTTAGGGTTAATTACAAAAAGTGACTTTACGTGTGGTTAGTTTTGCACTTTACCTTTAACATCTATTTTCTATTGCTTTATCATCAAAACTCTTAGTTAACTCTAAAGTTGTATAACGGCAATGTCAAAAAGATAGTTATACCTCTAAAGGTTAATTACAGTAACTCTCCGCATGTTTTGCACTTTACCCTTAATACCATTTTTATGTCAAAATGACGTTTATACCTCTAAGGATTAATTACAGTAAATCTCTCCGTGTTTTGCATTATACTTCAATATCATATTTTATCTCTGTTTGTTTGTTTGTCCTCAAAACTGTTATGTCAACTCCAATATTTTCTAAATCCAAGACAAATAATGCCTAGAAAACATCAATATTGAAAATATTGAAAATATAATGTTTGCTTGACATAATATTGAAAATATAATGTATTTATAGATATCGGCCTAGTTAAATTTCATTTAGTTATATTTTGTTTAGTTGGAGGCAAATATTCAACTCATTTCATGTGATAAGGATTAAAAATATTGTTAAAGGTCTAAAAATGTGAAATGATCTTAATATTTCCCTCAATTTTAAAAAAGAACAATTGCATGATCAAATTTGATACAAACATAGGATCCAATGATTCATGTTCAAGTCATATGTGAGTCGATTCATTGAAGCTTGTAAAGCTCAACAAATCCGGGTCCTTCCTTAGTTTTTAGTCATTTATGATAGTTATCATTCATGTTATCGTTTCTTTCATTAATTCCAGCAATTGTTCATTGTTTAATTAGAGTTAGCTTGGAGTTAATTGGGTTATTAGTTAGGGAATAAATGGCTAAAGGTCATGTGGACCATAGTTGAGCCGATTTGAGTTAGTATAAGTCAAGTTAGTTTCTAGTTCCAGCCAAGTAGGATTAGTTAGCCAAGTTCTCGTTGAATTAGGTATTTGAGTCTTTGTAAAGGCTATAAATAAGCGTTGAGTCCAACGTTTTTCAAAAGACATGATGAATTAAAGAAAATTCAAGAAAAACACATTGTGTTTAGTGAGTCTCTTGTCTAAGAGATCTAAACTTGAATACTTGAGAGGATTCTTAAGTTTTCAATTAACTTATCAAATCAAGATCCCGTTGAATTGTAGTGTCATTCTATTTTTCTAATCAATCTCGAACTGTCCTTGATTGGATTATAATCCATTCAATTTTGTCCACAGCCTAATCAAGATAGATCTTTCCGCTATTTGATTAGGTTGTTTCTTTAAGAACAGGAGATTGGAGATTCGAATTCGTAGCCGTTGGTATTAGAGTTTCAACTCTTGATCCAAGTTAATAGCCTTTTCTTTTCTTGCTTTCCTCTTTGTTCTTCTACCAAACCCTATCTAATTTGAAAAAAACAAATTTGTTCATCATTCTAGGGTTTGAATTTCTTGTGATTTTTCTTGTGTCTTTGTAGTATCAAAAAAAAAAGAAATACTATTCATTGATACTGTTCACTTTATTATACTGTTCATGTTACTGTAGTAGTACTGTTCATCTGAAAAAAAATTCCATACCTTGTGTTTGTCTCTTGTTATTCTTGAGTATTGTAGTTGGTTTGGTGTTTTCTTGATGTTCTTGGATTGCATAGTTGGGTTTCTTGAGAATCTTGAATAAAAGTTTCTAAATCTTGAACTTTCAAAAGCCAAGTTCACCTTCTTGAACTTAAAGTTGCGGCATTCTTGTTTCTTGAGATTTGGTGATCCAAAGTGAAAAGAAAAGAAAGGAAAAAAATTTGATAAAAAAAAAGAAAGAAACACAATTGGATCACAGCCTAGAGTTTAGAAACAAGAAAACAAATTGGAATTGAAAACCAAAATTGATTTGGATTATTTCCAAGATCTGGATACATAATCCATGTTTGATTTGGTTTGTGTTAGCCACTTGAACACCCTTAGGAAAGCTCCTTAAAACAATATCTTACTTTCCAAAGTCAATCCAAGAAACACTCGAGCCAAGTTCCCAAATTCCACCAACATGCAATCGGGTAGAGCATCTTTCTAGGTTCCTAAAAATTTTAGCCAACTTGCTTGTTGTTCCGGATTTCTTTTTTTTTTTTTTTTTTGGCAATCCCCAGAGCTGGGGTTGGGATGCCAGTCCCAATTTTATTACTTTAAATCAGTTCCTGAGGGGGGCATAAACCTGACCTCATCCATACAAGCCCAAAATAAGAAACTTACTTAATGCGACGTCTTCGAATAGATGGGTAAGCCAATTTATCCAACCGATAGTCGCCCCTGGCTATCCCTGGGAGGCTACTTAGATGTTCATAAAGACAGATCGACTCAGACAGGGTACACCCGACATTGGCCAGAATGTCTGCCACCTTATTGGCTTGTCGGTAACAATGCTTGAATTGTATACTCCCCTTAGAAAGTGTGAAGCACTGCTCGACTTCACCACTAATTGACCACGGTCATTGGAAATTATTCGTTAGAATCTGTATTACCTTGAATCCGATTTAACAACCAGCTGCCTGACCATCATCCTCTGGACACACAGTTGCAACCCAAGCAATAACGCTTTAGCTTCAGCTTGCAAGCTAGTCCCATAGCCAAAGCATCCTGCGAAGGCAAAGATAAAGGATCCCGAAACATCACTAAGGATCCCCCCCTCCACCACTCAGACCCGGATTTCCTTTAGAACACCCATCTATATTTAGCTTAAACGTTCCCAAGACTGGAGATTGCCAATGAACCAGACGAATCCTAAACACTTCTGCTCGCCGCTCCACCAATCCCAAGAACTGAGGCCAAGTCGTGACCTGATTAAATTCACCAAATTGCAACCAGTAGGCATCCTTCAAGTTTTGAAAAGCTGCTCCACAGATAGATCTGGCATCCTTGGTAATTCCTTCAAACACTGCTGAATTCCTTGCCTTCCACAAATTCCAACATACAAAAATGGGCAAGAGTCGAAAGTCAAACTTTAACCTCTCAGACTTAGTAGGTTTGTACCACCAATTCGCCAAATACACTCGTAAGTGGTCCTGACCAAATGTAATACCACAGAGAGATCCGAAAAACTTCCAAATCACCCTTGCTACCTCACCATCCATGAACACATGCTGTCAGGTTTCAACACTAGACTCCACACAGCAAAAACATTTGGATGGTAAGTGAAGAAAAAGCTTAGTTAAAATATCATCCAACGGTAACCGTCCTCGCAACAACCGCATCATAAAGAAGGAAATTTTTTGAGGGAGGTGTGGATGTCAAACCTGCCTATACATGAAAGAGGATGGCTTGGCCTCCCTCAACTCTTGGAAGGCCAAGGATACTGAGAAACGTCTAGACGACGGAGCCGTCCAAACCATTCTACCCACCGACGAAGAATAAGGGCTTGGCACCTTCATCACAGCCTGGACTATATCAGATGGTAAAACTTGAGCCAACAACTGTCTATTCCATATACCATTAGCTACAAAATTTTGAAAGGACAAATGTTCCTGCATCTCCACTCTAAGGTAGAAAGCACCTGAGCCCGTCCAGATATCAAACCAGAAATGACAATTGCCATTATAAGGTCTCCACGTTATGAATAGCTCCGCAAATCCCCTAATATCCAACATGCGACGCCACGTTGCAGAACTAGTAGAGACCATGGACACTTGACAAGGATGAGAAAAGTGACAGTATTTGGCCCACAAGAATAAAGCCCATAACGAGATACTATTCCTAAAGTTCCACCACAGTTTGCATGAAAAGGCCCGATAAGTGTCATAAATCGATCGAAATCCAACACCACCCTCATCTGGAGGATAGCATAGATCTCTCCACCTAATCCAGTGAAACTTATTTGAGTCTTTAGTTGTTCCCCACAAGAAATTAGCACAGACTCGTTCAATCATGCGGAAGGAACTTTTTGGAAGTATCGCTGACACCAACAGGTGAAAGGGAATGCTCGACAGCACGTGCTTGATCAAAATGATCTTACCACCAGATGATAAAAGGCGGTTCTTCCAGGAGAGCACCTTAGCAACAATTTGCTGGCACAAATCCGTAAAATACACTCCTTTGCACCGACCAGTAAACAACGGAGAACCCAAATAACGGATCGGAAATTCTCTTTTAGAAAACTTAGTAATCCGTTCAATGACGCTTTTTCGAGCCAGTGACACGCTGGGATGAATCAAAAAACCACTCTTACTAGTATTCACCAATTGGCCAGATGCACATTGATACAATTCCAGCACTCGCATAATTTTCCTTAGCGAAGAAGCCGACCCATTGGCAAACACTATAACGTCATCTGCAAAAGCCAAGTGAGAAACAGCATGGCAGTGTCGCGGCACTTTATATCCCACAAATTTTGATTGCGAGTAAAGCAAATTCAACCCTCTAGACAAAACCTCAACTCCAATGATAAAATGTGCCGGTGATAGAGGATCTCCCTGCCGAAGTCCCCGGAAGGACTTAAAAAAACCATGTGAAATACCATTAACAATCACCGAAAACCATACGTTTGTTAGCAATCGCCACACCATATCAATAAATCTTTCCCCAAATCCAAATTGACGCAATACCTTAAGAACAAACACCCAGGACATCCTATCATATGCCTTGGCCATGTCAAGTTTAAGCACCACATTCCGACCCCTGCATTTCTTCCCGATGTCTGATATCAACTCCTGAGCTAGGAGATAATTATCGGACATACTTCGATCAGGCACAAACCCACTCTGCTGAGGAGAGATAATACAGGGCAGAATCGAAGTTAACCGTGATACTAAAACTTGAGAAATAACTTTATTCAAAAAGTTACACACACTAATAGGACGATATTGAGAGAAAGAGTGAGGATTCAGGACCTTTGGAATAAGAACAATTAAGGTGGCCGTAATAAATCGAGGAAGTTCTGCTCCACAAAAGAAACTTAGAATCGCTTGGTAGACATCAGGACCTATCACCTCCCAGGCAAAAGTAAAGAATTTTCTTATGAAACCATCCGGTCCTGCTGTACTATCACCATC